CCCAACCTAGATTTATGATTCAAAGCTACTACATTCAGTCTCGTAGTATGCCTTAAACAGTAGGTAGGTCCCTTCCTTTTAGGGAATATAAATCCTACTTATCCGCTTCACAGGATGATGCCACCTCCATCCTTCTCTCACGCATGTGATTGATTGCATGACTTTTATTTTCTCCAGTTTCTCTCTAGTGCCCTAGAGCCTCCGAATGCGGGTATGAGCCACGCATGTTGATTCAACCCTTCGGACCTTTCTTCCTTTTGGATAGGACTTCCTAGTCTATACCCATGTGTCAATCCCACTTTAGGAGAGAATAATGTATGATCCTTAATCGAGAGTTTTCTCAGGCTCCGGCCTGGGATGTAATTAACCATGGGGGCTTGCGCCCGTGGGAAACTCGGTCTCACATCTACTAAACCCCATTCGAACTGTTGTATCGGGTGGGGGAAACCCGTGACTAGGTCGTGTATATTGCTACCCATCGGGTTGTGTTGGCGACAGCCTCTACCCTCAATGGTTAGTCGTATGCACGATCCAATCTGTCCCTTCCAATCGACCCATTCGCGTGGTGCTCTTTCGGAGGACCACAATAATAACCTGAGTGTTTCTTATTCGAAAAGGCTAAATTCTTCTGATCCTCCTTCGCAAAGACAAACTAAGGGAAAGGGCAACAAAAAATGCCCTTATCAAAAATCCTTGTTCCCTACGAATTGTCCTTCTTTGGCAGCTTGGAATATCAAGGGTTTCAATAACCCTGATAAAGTATTTTGTTGTAGAAATTTGGTTCATGAGCATAGGCTCGACTTAATTTGTATTCTTGAAAATCATATCCTTTCTTCTAATCTTCTGGATCCTTGGTTTTGCTCTACTCACAAGGTTTTTGATAATGAACTCAGTTATAATAATTTTGAGATGGCTTCTCTTGGGCGTATTTGGATAAAACGGAACTCAGATAAAGTTTCTTTTAATCCTATTTTTTCTTCCTCCCAAATGATTTCTGGTCATTTGATGATGGGGTCTCATACTCTTATGATTCTTTCTGTTGTTTACACTTCTAATACATTTGAAGAGAGAACTAAGCTTTGGGCTGATTTGGGAGCTATTAATCCTCATGGTGCTCTGCCATGGGTGGTGATTGGTGACTTTAATACTTGTAGATTTTAGTCTGAGAAAAAAGGTGGGAATATTCTAGCTGTTGATAGGCTAAATCTATTTAACTCCTTTATTTTTGACAATAATCTGTTTGAACTTCCTTCTTCTGGCAACTTTCATACATGGTTCAATTAAAGACAAGAAAATCTGATTAATCTAAAACTGGACAGGGTTGTAGTTAATGAGGCTTGGATTAATCATTATCCTAACTCCCACTATAATTTGTTAAGCAGTCTTGTCTCAGATCACACCCCACTTATTCTCAGAGATGTTCCACATAATAAATCTCAGATGCGGTTTATGAATAAAAATTATTGGAGCCATATTCCGGATTTCTGGAGCATTTTATTGAATATTTTTCAAACTCCTGATCTAGGGAATGCTATTGTTAGCCTTTATAAGAAGTTGAAGCTATTAAAAAGAGAGATAAAAGCAAGAAATTTGAGTACTTCCAATCTAATTGCTAACAAATGTGCTTCCTTAGCTGCAATACAAGATATGTGGAGAACTTAAGAAGATCAATGTATATATTAATTATTACAACTCTCTTCATGCTTCTTGGATTATTCAAAGATAAAAAATTAAATGGTTAAAATGTGGAGAGGAGGATTTGAAGTTTCTGTATTCCAAAAATAGGAATAGAAAAGCTTTTAATGGTAGCTCACTTAATGTTGCTACTCAACATATCTTTGATCGAGAGAATAGCAATATTCATGGTATCATTCAGCATTTCAAAAAACTTTATAATTCTGCACCTCCTGAGTTAAATGATACTAGCATTATTCCTAAAGGCAAAATAATCCCTGAATCTGCTATTAATTCATTAGTGAGGCCTGTCACTAATGAGGAAATTCATTTAGCTATTAATTCTAGTTGCTCCAACTCGAAGCATGGTCCTGATGGGTTTAATTTTGATTTTTACCAAAAAACTGGAGTATTATCGGTCCTTTAGTTTGCAAGGCCATTAAATCTTTTTTCAGTAAATGCTATTTACCTATTAGTGCTAAGGCTACTGCCATTGCACTTGTTCCAAAGAAATCTCATGCTGAAAATATACAAGACTTTTCAGCCTATTGCTCTCTGCAAAGTTTTTCACAAAATTATTGCTAGAAGCTTGGCTGCTTGTATGAAAATTATTATGCTTGATATCATAGAGATTAATCAAGCAGATTTTATTCCCAATAGGGTTGCTACTGACAATCCCATTTTGGCTAAGGAAATCATCAATCTCTTCAAAAAGTAATATAAGATGGACCTTTTTTGTGCTAAATATGATATCAGGAAAGCATCCGATACAGTATCCAGGAATTTTCTTTTTGCTAGACTGGCTGATAAAGGTTTCCCTACTATTTTTATTAACTGGATCAAAGCATGTATCAAAGATATTCATTTCTCAATATTCCTCGATGGAACACTGGAAGGGTTTTTTACCTCTTCAACCGGACTAAGACAATGTTGTCCTCTTCGTCCCTATCTATTTTGTATTGTTATGGATGATCTATCTTGCCTATTAGATTCTAACTCAGACTCTAATGGTTTTAAGGGTTTCAAAATTGATAACTTTCAACTGTCTCACCTTACATATGCTGATGATCTTTTGGTATTTGGGAAGGCAGATACTAATAACCGTGTTAAGCTTATGAGAACCCTTAATTTGTTTTCTAACCTTACTGGGTTGCAGCTGAACTTACATAAAAGTTCTATTATAATTTCACCAAATGTTTCTTGTCCGAATGACATTTCTAATACGCTGCAAATTCACAATGTCTCTACTAAGTTTACTTACTTGGGCATTCATTTATCCATGGGTCCGATAAAGCTTTCTGATTTTGCTCCTCTGAAGGAGAAAATCACTGTGTTATTATCTGGTTGGAAGGCTAGGGTGCTTTCATTTGCTGGTAGGCTGCAATACATTAAATATACTATTATAAACATTGTGGCTTATTGGATTAGAATCATGATCATACCTAAGTCTATTTGCAAGTCTATAGGAAAGTTATGTTCTAAATTTTTATATCATGGGGACACTAATAGTAGAAGAATTCACCTTATATCTTGGAATAATTCCTGTAAACTACATTCTTTTGGTGGATTGGGAATTGCTTCATTACAAGCTTTAAATTTTGCTTACAACTGCGGCATTATTCTGAGATGTTACAATTCATATTCCCCTCTTGCTAAGTGGTTGCTAGCTAGATATTCCTCTCATTGGAAACCTTTTTCGTTTAACGCGACAATTTTCTGGAAAAACATTTGTAAAAATGCTGAAGTGGCAAGGGAGAAATTCAATTTTATTATTTCTACCAATATTCCTATTTCTATATTATGGGATCACTGATGTTTGGGGGAAACTATCTCTGACAGATTTCAAAATATTCCTCTTAATTTGGCTCATAACACTCAGCTGGCTAGCTAGATTAATAACGGTCCATGGTATATTCTGAAAATTGATAATCCATTTATTAGGAATTTTATTTTGGATCTTCATATTGCAACTGATAGTCATAATCATATTGGATGGGACAAGTTGGAAAATGCTAAGTTTAAAGATTTCTATTTATACTATTTTGCTAATGATGTTCAATTTGATTGGCATCATTTGGTTTGGCATAAAAAACATGCTTTGAGGCATTCTGTTTATTCTTGGATGGTGCTCAGAGGAGGTTTATGACGTCTTGGCTGCTAGGAACATCCCTATTATGGATAAATTTGCACTTTATGCCATAATAGCTTGGAGACTACTTCACATATGCTGTTTGAATCCCATCCTTCCTGACACATTATTTTAGGCCAACTGTTTATTTAGCACTTCTCCATATTGATAATATGGATAAGTCTAAAAGAATTAAGCTTGGTCGCCTTCTTTTTTTGAATGATGTCATTTATTTCAGCTAGATGGATAGGAATAATAGAAGGTTTAAGTCTAATGCTCTGTGTGCAAATACTTTTGTTAAGAAAATCTCAAAAGTAATTATTATCAAGTTAATGGGTTGGAAAAATGGTAATGAGGTAAAAGAGGCTTTGAAACTGGTTTATTACTAATGAGGTCCCAATTTTCCTTGTTTATATGATGGGAGGTTTGGTTTCTATTTGATAGAATCTGAGGTGCATTATTTGGATTGAATAGTATCTAATTTTCTATGTGGATCTTTGCTCTGGGTTTGCTGGTATCAATCTTTTGATGCCCGACCCATCTATGATTATGATTTGAAGCTTTTGCGGCTTCATTTAATATCTTGTTTGCGAGGAGAGGATCGCTGGTGTCAATTTTTTGATGACCGACCCATCATTGACGGTGACCTAGAGATGCTCGGCTATTACAGTGGGGTTCTAAAGCTTGATTAGCAGGTTTTTTGAGCTGCGGACAATGATGATTACCTGCTAACTTCTTTTTGGATGGCCTATGGGCAACCAAAGAAGATTTGGAAAATCGTAATATGAAATTCAATGATATTCTGAGTCCTAGCCAGACAAATATTCTGAGTCCTAGCCAGACAAATATTCTGAGTTCCAGCTAGACAAATATTCTGTCTGATCAATTTTTTCTGTTTTATTATTAAAGCTTTGTTGTAATAGTTTATTGTTTTAAGATTATTTTATTTTATGTTAGCATGTTGCTAGGTTTGAATTGTTACCGTATTTCTTTTTTGTATCAACAAGTTTCTTTGTTATCAATAAATTGAGCTATGCCCTCAATTTTTCCAAAAAAAAAAAAAAAAAAAACTATGCCCTCAATAAAAAAAAAAAAAAAAAAAAAAAAAATCCAATTTCAGTTAAACCAAATAATTAAATCCCGATTTTAAAATACAGCTTCCTATTCTCCGTTTTCCCCTTCCTAAATTTGTTTCTGCATATCCTTCTTATACTTATTTTCGTATAAAATATGCTCCTTTTTATAATTATATACACCTTCCTAAATCCTATAGCGCGTTAGGAGGGTTGTCCTTCTCTTTTATCTAGCTCTCGGTCGCGTGCTTCTTCCCTTGCAAAGATGAAGGATTCGCAGGCGAGATTGGTGCAGGAACTGGTCTTGTACGCTGCTAGTGCGGCGTTGAGTAGCCTCGTCCTTTTTATGGGGCTCCGCCATCTCGACCCCAACCGCGACGCCTCCAAGAAAGCCCTCGCGCAGAAGAAGGAGATCGCCAAGCGACTCGGCCGCCCCCTAATTCAGACCAATCAATACGAGGTGCCTTACCCGTTCTTTGTTCGCTCAACATTCAATTGATATACTTAAATCACGGGATTTTTGCTTGGGACTTTAAAACGCCCGCCATAATCTGTTAGTTCGATATTATAATAGTGTTCAATTTTTGTGAAGCTCGATAAATGGTGGTTAGGGCTTAACCTAATTGGGACTTGTGAATCGATATTTAACTGGATTTCAAAGTATAGCAAAGTTACTTTATAGCTTTGATAATCGTTTTTAGCATTGCCTCTTATCGACGGTGATTCGTACGTAGCATTGATATGTTGATAGATTAAAGTTTAACTGATTATGCATGTGACAAGTTGTGATATTTCTCACGACTGGCCCCATCACGCTTGCTAGATTAATTGTACTAATGCTTTTGCGTTGCATCTGATAATTAACTTCAGTACTTCTTTTTCTATGAATTCTTTCTGGGAAATGAGAAGCTTATGAAAAACTAGTAAAAGTGTAGGTGCACCAATTGTACTTAATTTCATTAACATTCATATTATTATTTTTGTTAATGATATTGATTACGGTTAATCTCTTAGTATTTTATTTCATCAAAATCAGAATTTTTTTAATATAAAATTTTTATTATGTTGATTCTTTTATTCTCTCTTTGATGTAGCACATCATGTTGATGAAGATTTACTACGATTGAAGCCTAGTAAAGAGCTCATAATTTAAAAAAATTTAAAAAATTGTATTTTACTTTTCATCTAGAAAATAGTGTGACCAACATTAATATGATTTAGTATGAATGAAACATTAAAAAGTGGTTGTTATAATTCTTACTTATTAATGCTACCTATCTCATTTTCATTCTTTTTTCTGTCTACATTTTTCCTTCAAAATAGTTGCCTAGATTCTTATAATGCCTATACAGATGAGCTAAAATTCTTTGTAATTTTTATTGATGAATAAAATATTTTGGTGGAGAAGTTCTTTTCATTTACAGGATGCTTAATGGCTTCAAGGAGTTTGCCTATTTTTGATGAGTTAGACAGTTAATTATATTTTCTTTAAGTTACTTGTTATTGTTCTTACACACTTGCTTAAAATTCTTCAAATCTTTTCATCTAATTCATATGTATCCTCTAAAATCTTTCTAAATTAGGGAACACTATGACCTAGTCTTATCCCATACACTTTAACATCCTGTTAAACTCCACTAAACTTTATCTTCAACTCTAGATTATAATTTACATCTTTCAGTAACCTTCTATCATTATTTTCAGTCATTTATCCAACATTAAACTCTTTCTCTAAATTGATCTTCCAAATTAGCTGAAAACAATCTAAATTGGACTAGTCATGGTATGCATACTAGTGTACTCCTTTAAACTCTCCCCCATTCAACCATAAACTCTAAAATACTTACTTAATTATTAAACTAAACATCTATAGTCCTTTCTACACCTTAATCTCGTCAAAGTGCTATCCACCACTATTATATTTAGTTTCAGAGTAAATTTAAGAAGGAGCAAATCTGGTTAGAACTTTTGGACATCAAAGAAATTTTTTTCTTTTGATGGACTTTCTCCCTTGTGATTCATTTTACTATATTTGAGATTAGTAGATTCTTATGATCAATTTATTTCATAATAATAGTTTGTATATATAATATATTTCTTACATGCTTATGATGTAAGCATAAAATTCAATTAATTAGCACCATTATAAAGCATGACCAATGTCCTTGTGAATAAAGTATCATCATTCTAATGATGTATGGAGGAGAATGAAAATAGGATAGCCAAGTTGATTAGACATTTACTAATTGTCAGGCTAAATGATTGATGATTAAGCAAAGTATTTTCTTCGAAGATCTTATATAAAAACATATAAAGATTGATAAAAGTCAATGTAGTATGAAACTAAAGGTGATTTATCACCTTGGTGGAAAACAATCCATAATATAAATTTCTTCAATTGAGATATTAACATTATTATGGTCTTGCTTTTGTTGGATTCAAATTTGTCTTTGGGTGTATTTGACCTTACTAACATTTAATCTCTAGGTATGTGTTGGGGGATTGAGTAAGATTTGACTATGGAGAGTGAGACCTCTACATACCTTGGAAGAGAATTGTGTGGAATCTTGGCAACTACCCAAGCTATAGTAAAACAAGACAATAACTTTGCATTTACTCACCCATAATAGTTTGGTAGCCTTATTTAATACTCATCATCAATTCACTTGTTCTTTTCGTCACTCGTTTGCCAAAAGGGTCGAGCGAACCGGGGAACTAAATGTATAATAGCATATGCCTTTTCAATTATTTAACAGTTGGTCGGTTGGCTATGGCAGAAGAACTCATATCCTGTGGCCTGCGTGAGAGCTCACATAAAGGTCTTAAAATACACTTCGAGAAGGGACTTAGTAGGGAGTTGCCTTTCTTGTGGACAACCAAAAACTCTCACAAGTCTCCTAGCTCGTCACTCGTCTTTATGAAGAGCTCTCCACTAACACAGCTTTTCATCCTCCACAACAGGGAACCGTTTATCTTGCTTGCCACTTATTGGGAAGGTGCCTACTCAAAAGACTATAACTCGCCCTATCATAGTTAGTCGACCATGAAGCTTGTTTACCTTATTAACCAATTTCATTTGACTCTCTCTTTGCAAGGCAGCATAGGTTTCCTGTACAGGTCGCTTACTAGTGATTCCAAGGCATCAAGTAGCTTAGCTCTCTCTATGCAAGACTCTCCAATAGACGCTCCTGCACCTACTAGCTTATAAGCACTTGGCACTACTGAACTCACCTAGAGGATAGGTGAGGTTCAAGGAAAGCTATTGCTGCTCTAGCCAGCCAAAATGTGAATGTGTCTAGGGCAGTCTATAGAGTATTAGGTCTTTAAGTCCTGTATTTTTTTACTCATTTATTGATTTCGCATTTGCTGTAGCCTTGAGATCGCTATTAATAAATGATAAAGAGGATTATTTTGGATTTTTTGGCACTTGAGCTCCTACTGATACTTTTATTTCAAATATTTGAGCTAGTGGATTACTCTCTTTCTTTCAATCTCTCCATTTTACACATGTTTTTAGGTCATACTCTTAGTGCTAGCCCGCCATTAAGATTTAGCTTTACACGTTGATAAATTTTGATCCAACATTATGCATTTCATTGTTCATCTAATCTTAGTTTACATCTATAAACTTTACACCCTTAGTTGTCCTATGTCAGTAGTGTTTATTCGTTTTATGCAAATTGCAATCATAAATGAATTATCCTTTTATTTTATTATGATCTTCTAAATCACAGGATATTATTGCCTGTGATGTTATTAACCCAGACCATATCGAAGTCGAGTTTGACTCAATTGGTGGGCTCGAAAATATAAAGAATGCATTGTATGAGCTGGTCATTCTTCCATTAAAGCGACCTGAATTGTTTTCTAGTGGAAAGCTTCTCACCCCGCAAAAAGGTGTCTTACTGTATGGACCTCCAGGTACTGGCAAGACAATGCTAGCTAAGGCCCTTGCCAAAGAGTCTGGTGCAGTTTTCATTAATGTACGAATGTCCAATCTGATGAGCAAATGGTTTGGTGATGCTCAAAAACTTGGTAAATTATTGTCAGTTGTAAAACTTAGTTAATTTTTACTACCTTTCTGTTTTGTTTTGATGTGTTAATATTAATTGTTAGTATTTTACTTGTATTGAACTTTTCTTTGTCTTAGAATAAATTATGATTTCTTGTGTTATGAATATCTAATTATATGTGTTGGCCTACTAGCTGTTTCACATGAATTTATTCCTGTAGAATTCACCTATCAAAGGATAGGATTGTTATATGTTTTAGGTTATTATCCATTTGGAGGAATAGTTCTACTTTTTCTATCACATCTTTCAGCAATATAAGAAGCATTCCAATTAAGGTGCCTATTATTAGTGTATACTTTTTCTCTAATAACATTGATGAATTTGCAGATATGCAGAAAAGCTTCTTAATGTTTCTATTTGGGATCCTGCATGTATTGACTTATAACTGCAACTGAAGAGATCTATGGTTTGATGAAATTAAGTTGAATCAATTTATTAATCAACCTCTGATTACAAGAGACGTCCTAAAATTTTTTTGGTAACATTCCTGGTGTCAATAGTATTAGTAGTTTTGAAATTTGAAAGACTAATTTCTTTAAGAAGGTTTGTGACATTTTCCTTGAGACATGTGAACTTCTATGTTTTATGCAAATTTTATTTCTAGAAAGCATTGGGGATGACCCAAGTTTTTTTGCAAATAGTTGTGTGCTAGAACATTCATGACAATAAAGAGATAAAGAATTTAAAGTCATAGCTTTGCATGAAAACCCAACATACAAATGGATAAGAGAGGAGTGCAAGATAAAAATATTAGAGTTTTTATGTGGAAAACACATGAAAGGGAAAATACAGGAAAGGGAAAAGTCATAGGGCTTGTCCCAGTTAAAATGATTCTATCAGTTAGACCTGTCAATATTGGACCCGACCCGAAAACCCGACCCGAACCCGACCCGAAAATTTCGGGTTCGGGTCAACCCGAACCCGAACCGGGTCGGGTTTGAGTTAGAGATTTCAACCCGTTTGTAAAACCGGGTCGGGTTCGGGTTGACCCGGAAACCCGAAATCGACCCGGTTTGACCCGTTTTTAATTAATTTTGGAGGATTTTAATGAATTTTTATGAAATAAGTAAATAATATTTCAAAAAATTATAAATATTATTGCCCAAATTAAATTAATCTTGATTTATTTTAAATTAATTGAAGTAAATCTACCCTTAATTTGATTTAAATTTAAATAAAATGAATTAAATAAAAAAAATTTAATTAAATATACCCGAAGCGGGTCGGGTCGGGTTGACCCGGACCCGAAGCGGGTCGGGTTCGGGTTCGGAAAACCGACCCGTTTGCAAAAACGGGTCGGGTCGGGTCGGGTTGAACAGTGTCGGGTCAATTTCGGGTTGGACCCGAACCCGACCCGTGACCCGTTTTTGACAGGTCTACTATCAGTATTGATTACAAGTGAAGCCTTTTTATGAGGGAATACATTGATAAAGTATATATTATATTGTTAAAGTTGGGAGAGCCCTTTGGCGGGAATCTAACAGAAATTCAAACACTAAAGTTGGGAGTTAGAGTTTATGTTGACGGTATGCATCAATCTTATAGGTGATGCCATGCGTTGGCATTATTGGGAAGGGTTGGTTATGAAGTCGGTATGCATTGGAGTAGGTAGATGACATTGGTTAGGAGATTGTATCTTGGTGGACCATAGTCGAGTGATGGTAGTCGATGGACTGAAGTAGGTAGGTGATATAAGTTGGAAGGACCGTATTTAAGCATTGGTGGTTGGAAGATCGTAGAAGAGCGATGTTGTTTCAAGGATTGTAGTTGGTGGGCGATCGTGGTTGGGGGATCATAGTTGGTAGGAGACAGAGGTTAGAAGGAGCAAAGTCGAGTGTTGGTGGTTGAGGGACCGTTGTCGAGCGACGTTATTCCAAGGACCATAATCAGATGACTATGGTTGGAGGACCGTAGTCAGTGATGACGATGGTCAAAGGATCATAGTTAGGCCATGATGGTCGGAGGACCGTAGTCAGCAGGCAATGGTGGTCAGGGGATCATAGTCGGCAGGCGATGATGGTAGGAGGACCGTAGTCTGTGGGCAACAGTAATCGTAGCAGGAGATGGTGGTCTGAGGATCGTAATCGATGGATGACATATGTTAGTTGTTTGCGGGAGATGAAGGCCCGAGGAACGTAGTCGGTTGGTGATGAAGGTCGATGCATAGTATATGAGCGACAGTGATCTAGGGATCGTAGCCAACGTGCAACTATGGCCAGGAGGTTGAAGTTGATGGGCGATGGTGGTCCAAGGATTGTAGTTGATGAGAACCGGGAGTTTAGTGGACTGTAGTCAGCAAGCGACGAAGGCTGGAGGCTTGTAGTCGGCTGGTGATAGTGGTTAGAAGATGGTAATCAGACGACAGTAGCCCGAGGATTGTAGACAACGGGCGATTGAGGTTGGAAGGGCCATAGTCGGGCGAGAATGTTCGGAGGATCATAGTTGACAGACAATGGAGGTCGGAGAATTATGATTGGTGGGCAACAAAGGTTAGAAGGATTATCGTTGTGCGATGGTTGTTAGAGGATCATAATTGAACGACAATGGTTCGAGGACCATACTCGGTGAGTGAAGATGGTTGAAGGATCGTAGCTGGCGAGCGACGGTGGTCCTAGGACCATAGTAGGAGGATGACGGTGGCTCAAGGATTGTACTCAGCGGGCTTCGAACTACATTCGGTGGGTGGAGGACTATAGTCGACTGATGGTGGTTCGAGGACCGTTGTTCACCAACGGAGGACCGTAGTTGGGTGATGGCGGTCCACAGATCATGGCGGTTGGCTAGCGAAGATCCTACAGGTGGCTCACTGGTGGTGCTCCAAAATCCTTTGAGCCTCAGAGCTCTCTTGAATCTCAAGAGAGAGTTCACGCTCAAGCTCCAAGCTCTCCTCCCCTAATTTAGAGAGTCGAGGCCTATATATATATATATATA